TGTTCGACAGGCTCCGCGCCGAGCAGCCCCACGCCCTGGACAAGATCGTCGTGCTCCCCGGGGACATCACGGAGCTGGGGCTCGGGCTGAGCCAGGAGCACAGGGCGCTGCTGCAGCGGGAGGTGTCCGTCGTGTACCACGTGGCGGCCTCGGTGCGCTTCGACGACCCCTTCCGGAAGGCCGTGTTCACCAACCTGCGCAGCACGCGCGAGGTCGTGGAGCTGGCCCGCGGCATGCCGCAGCTCAAGGTCCTGGTGCACGTCTCCACGGCGTACACCAACATCAACCGCGATCTGATTGAGGAGCGGGTGTACGAGCCACACTTGGACTGGAGGCAGGTGATCCGGATGGCCGAGCAAACGGACCCAGCCAGCCTGTGGGCAATGGACTGCCTGGGCCCCAAGTGAGTTTTATTAGAGCTTTCAAACATTTGCCTTTTACGAATAGGAATGTTTCTCGAAACGATGTCGACAATACGTTTCGAACGACATCGTACCGGCGGCGCTGGTACGTAGTTTTGTCCGACTGACGTGTCGGTCTGATATCGTTGCCTCTTTGTGGACTGCAGGCTCCGGGACTTCCACCCGAACTCGTACACCTTCACCAAGGCCCTGGCCGAGAAGCTGATCGACGACGTGGCCTCCGAGCTGCCCGTCGTACTCGTCCGCCCCTCTATCGGTGAGTGCCTCCGGTGTCAAATTTCCGGTGCTCGCGCGTGCTTATGAGTCCTTAAGGATTTTAAACTCCGATTTTTTTTTTCGGAAAAATTGGAAACTTTTTCAGAAAAATGGAAAACATGAACTTTTCATGAACTAATCATCACGATATGTTTTGTTTAAACCTAATACACACACGCACACTAGGTGCCTGCTCTGTGTTTTAGATAGACGGGAGAGGGGGGGGGGGATCAAGAAGTTTTTGAAAAACTTTCTCAATATTTTTTTTTACGGATATTTAAAATCCCTGATCCTGCTGCCGCCAGTCACGCCGACCTTCAGGGACCCCTTCCCCGGCTGGGTAGACAACCTCTACGGCCTGGGGGGCGTCTGGGCCGCCGGCTGGAAGGGCCTCATCCGCGTGACCCCCGGCGACGGCATCGTCTTCGACACCGTGCCCGCCGACGTGGTCACCAAGACCACCATCCTGGCGTCCTGGGCGCGCGGCCGCGGCATCAGTATAAGGTGAGCTGCCGTCCGTGGGTATGGGGATCGCGTTGAACGGAGTGTCAAGAACCCTCTGACCCCTCTCCGCCCCCCGCAGGCCGCTCCCCGACGGCGCCGCCCCCAAGGGCGTGGAGGTGGTGAACGCCACCGTGGGAAACGAGATCGGCTGCTCTCACAGGGACATGATGTGGGGCCTAACGGAGGCGGGCCTCGCCAACGACTTGGTCTTCCCCGGTATGATCCGGGACCCCAAGTACCAGGTGGTCAGCAACCCGATCGCCTACGAGCTGCTTAAATTCTACCACCACATCCTGTACGGCCTCGTCCTTGACACGGCAGCCAGGATCACTGGCCGGAAGCCGAGGTGAGGATGACTGACTTCGTCGACATGCGACCTGCACCCGACTAAAATTTTAAGCGTACAACACCGTTTTTTTGTAATATTTTCTTCGTCATTTTTCATGATTTATCCTTTTTGGGTTATATTCATGATTTTGCGACTGATCTTCTCTGAGGTTTTTTTTTGCAATTATTGTTTAAATAATTTCTTCTTGATTTTTTCTGATTTCTGAAATAATTTTTTTTAGAGGATACACCCATGTACACTGATTTTCTTTGATCGAAGTATCCTCCGTGTTCACCCTCCAGTCTCAGAGCACGTTCCTTCAATTGTTGTACCGTGGCCGTTTGATCCCGCAGAGCTATGAAGATGTACCGAATTATAGAGGGGGGCATGGAGGCGACACTGCCTTTCCAACTGCGCCAATTCAAGTTCGAGTTGGTGAACCAGCGGCTTCTCCAGATCCTCATGCACCCGGCGGACGAGGACGCGTACTGCATCATGGAGTTTTTCAGCATCAGGGACAACCTGGAGAAGTTCAAGCAGGTTGCCCTCGACACGATGCGCGGCGTGCTCGTGTACGCGCTCAAGGAGGAGGACAGCCCGGACAAGTACAGGCCGCAGCTCGAGAGGCAAGTGACACCACACGGCCTTCGTATCGCGACAGCTGCTTAGTAGGAATTCTACTGTCCGAAACTTTTGCAGGAAAAACTGGACATGTTTCCACAAAATTTTGAAACAAATGAAACTTTGCAGGAGAATTTTTTT